CAGAATGCTGATACCGTTTATTTCGTAAATGTTTTGGTTTATAATCTTTTCCTTAATTGCGTCTGAAAATTTAAAAGAGATGTTTTAGATTATCCACTTTAATCTTACTTAAATAACTTAGGTTCCAAATTATTTTTAAATCAGTCATTTGAATAATAGGAAAAATGAGCAAACAAGTCCAATACCATTTTTTTTTACTGTTATGAACAAAAGGAAAATATCCACACGTAATAGATCTGCTGGACCAATTGATAATCAATGTTGCAGAGGTTTTGGTTTTAACATGGGGTAAGCGAACTGATAAATCTGGTTCACCAACCCATCCTGAAACATTTGACTGTATACTTCAATAAATCTCGATGTATTCAATCGTTTATATTCATCCAGGATGTATAGTATAAACAAATAGTTAGACCAGGAGTGCTGGCAATGAATATTGAGAGTCAACTGACAAGTTTCTATTGGCTATGTTAACATGCATTTTATGAAAGGCTTAATAATATTATTTATAATTTCTTTCTCAAAAGGTAAAATATTGAAAACGATTCCATGTCAATAATAATAATTAAAAAAGTTAGACTGCACTTAAATGATATTGTCAAATACTTATTAAATGAAAACAATATAACGTTTACCAATACATCACACTTAATGTACAGTATGATTGTTACGCATTGCACACCCTTTCTTATAAGTAATTGTAAAACAGCAATTTGTATATTAGTTTAAGTGCATACTTTCTATAAAGTATATAGCCCATACCAACTGGAGTCAGATTTCTAACAATGCCAATGATTTCTAATATTAACTTGATATAGGCCAACCAATATTTTATCAATTTCCGTGAAAATGCTGTTTAACTGTACTCATTCGATGCCTCTTTTGGTTGGAGGACGGTTAAGTGACAGTGTTGTGGTCAATGAACTACAGCCCGCATATTTCATATTTATATACAGTATAAAAGTTCAATATCAAACCACTAACATCTGGCTTGTTTGATTTGATTCATTGGGTCAGAAGTGTGATTGATGAGATTACAACAGATTTTAAATTGAGGTTTCAGACATCACTGTGATGTTTAAATTTAACGACTTTCCACATTCTCCTTTAAAATATGCTGGTTTTAAATTCATTGAAAGTTTCCAAGATGTAAATCCATTGTCAGAGACCTTGGTATTATGAATTTATGAAAATAAAAACATTAATTAATAGAAAATTAAAAACTATGGTGCGTTTAAAGACTAGTGTATATATATGTGAATTGCTATATGGTTCGAAAAGAATAAGACTCGTCGTATTTATGTATATATAATGAACTCTAATTGCTAACAATTTCAATATCGTTGTTTTCAAGTAAAACCGTGTTACAAGTAACTTAACATGACGTTTCGGTCTCGTTACTGAGGCCGTCTTCAGGGAAGCAACAGAATGTCACTGCTCCGTAATGACGTGACGAAGAAGTGGCTCTCAAAATGTTCATCTGCAACAAGGCCGATACCTGTGGTCAATTATTTAGAATTATAACAAAGATTTACATCGGAGCTTTCGATAGTGTTAAATTTGTATGCTACTTTGAACCCTTATATAATTTCACTATTTTTTATTTTTTCTCTGTTACTTTATATATGTGTTGTTTGCTTTCTTTTGTGCTTTTATCATCAGTAAAACACCAGTGTCAAAATTTATTTTAACAATATAAAACCCATTTAAATTAGAATAGATTAGCAGTGCTTGATTTTCATTATGTTATATTAGGGTATACCTGGCATGGGTCTTTAATATAATTTCTTGGAGTGAAAAACGCTTATAATCTAGATGGACAATGCAGTTGTCAGTTTGAAATATTGAGTAGAGCAAGCATGTCAAACCAATGCTTTTGATATAAGTAACGAAGGATTGGTTGTTAAATCGTGATGGCTTGATAAAATAAAAATTATTAATTTGTAAGTTATTGTTTATTCATAGTACTACAAAACTGCTATTTCAGTATAAAAATAAGTAATTATTACACGCTTACTTTTTTAACATAGTCTAAATATCACATACTTCGGCTTACGTAAAATTCAGGAATCAATATTATTAATTCACTTCAGGAACAATATTATGTGTTAATCAATCTAGTATCAGATAGTTTAGTAGAAATAAAAACTATGTATTTGTATTAATTTGAAATAACAACTTCACCAATATTTCTGAATTTTTTATTTTTATGAGGCCTTTCGCCAGCTATGCTGGTACCATCAGACACATCACAAAACTGATGATGTCTGATGATGCCAGCATAGCTGGTGAAAGGCCTCATAAAAATCAAAAATTCAGAAATATTGGTGAAGTTGTTATTTCAAATTAATATTAATTCCAATATTACCAGTTCTTCATGAAGATCTGTATTTGTAATTTAATTGAAGCTAATTTCCTATTACAAAAATATCATATACAAGTTTTTAATTTATACAATCCTGAAATCATCTAGTATCAATCTAGTATCAACGTAAGTAGGGGTGGCTGCGATCGTGGACAAACCACCCCTAGAGTGGTAGTTTAATCCATAGGGGGTTGTAAACATAACTCTTAGCTGTTTGGGGTAGTTTTCGTAATTATATGTAGGTATTCAACATATCAAGGGAAGTTTTCGTAATTATATGTAGGTATTTAACATACCAAATTAATCATAGGATAAAAATGAATGCCTTAAGTGGGTATCGACCCCGGGGCTCGTAGGTGATGATTTTATGTTTTAGCCATCCAGCTATGGAAGCAGTTGTAACATATATTGTAGTCGTCAACTGTTCAACAACCTTAATTGTGACCACATACGCAGCTGTTAAAAATAACCTCAAGGTGAAATCCTTCCTGTTATAACCTCACTCTACGTATTGTATACTTTTCCCGCCAACTGTATTGCCAAATGACATAACCTCACTTTTGTGTCATCTGCTTTCCCGTCATGATCTCACGCTACGTATCGTAAATGTAGTTATTTCTATTCAATTATTAAACTCAGGTACAGTGTTTATATCGGTAAAATAATCCCAGTGGATAAAGTTTCAACGTTAATGTGTAGCAAGCGATTAGCGGAGTTCAATTGCTGATAGTGTGGCAATATTGATAGCGTTATCTTTGATAATGATATCGTTACGATACGTATTACTACAAATGATTGAGGTAAGTTGTATTTACTATAAATTACTTTAAAATAATTGGTGTCGTAAACTTATATCTGACATTTTAGGGTAAATAAAAACAAATTGTCTTACATATAAATTTATCCTCTCTCTTTAACGTATTCTGTCACTACAATTATGACACTGGGTATGACCATAGGGTAGTAATAGGGGAATGCTCCGATGCTATGTAAATCTGGTTGTAAAATCAGCTGTTGTTAGATGTATTAATGTCAAAGATTGTATTTAATCTTATGTTTGGTGAAACTTGATACAATGCCTTGTAATTAGCTGTACTAAAAGGCATATCTCTAAAGAAACACTTCTACCTACATATAACAAATGCGAAAGAAATTATAATCACCATTGTTTAAAAAGATGGCTTAAGTGGAACTTTACCGCTGAGCATAAATTGGTCCTTCTAAAACCTACCAAAAGTGTTATTTTTGGTTAGGGTTAGCGCTGAAGGTTCACGGGTTCGATTTTAACCCGACTGGGTTGTTTCGATCCTTGTCAGACGTTTCATATCCGGTATTATTAAGGAAACAGAGGAATAAAAACGATACAATATACAGGTGGTTTTTAACTCTAAACCTGATAATTATCCGTGTTGTTTTAAATTCATGTCAAATTGATTTTTTGATAGAGTTAGGCTTGTAAACAACCTTTGGCTCACCTGGAGCAGAATTATTATCGTCAATCTCTTACGAAGTTGTCATAATAAGTTGAAAATATTCAATGTTGGTTTCAAATTTTATTTTCACATTGTAAAGGAAAAGTTACAGATTCTTTCTCCACATTAAGATAGTGGTTAAGTTGCCATTATGTTATCTGTACAATAGTTATGATAACGGTAATGTGTAACAATTAGATAAGCGCGCTATTTGATTTCTAGAAACTCTGTATACTCGTGGATTATTGTTCTTGCTCAGTGTAGTTCTAAAACCTTTAAACTTTTTTTATTAAACGGGCGTAGAATATAATGTAAATTAAAGTGTTAAGAAGTAAGTACGAATGAATGTTTATTGTCTAAAACTCCATATTTTATAGTAGGTAATACTGTAGTAAACTAAATAACTTTGAATTACAGTATTTTCTAATCCAGAGCTAATGCTTTTCAATTATGTTAGCAGTCATATACACCAGTTTGACTTTTATACAAGGTCGAAAATCTAAAGCCAGTTTGCACACCTAGACGAACATTTTTGTATATATATATGAACAGAAAACTCTGCTGATTAAATATTCTATATGTTTTAGGTTTAACAAATACGCGTATCTATTGCCATAATATGTACGGTACCCAGCTAGCTAGTATCAGCAGGTAAGTCACTGAAATACCATAGGTGTTTTGTTATTTTATGCCAATCATAAACACTATCAAGATACAATTTTAGTAATTCACTATCACAACTCTTTACCGTTGTCAAGTTAAAATAATTGGTAACTATATATTGTTAATAAATTCTATTTTAATTTTAATAAAGGTTTTGTTTGTAAATTGCTCTCTATAAATATTTTCTATGTAATAATTGCTTCAACTTATAATTAAATTAAATAAATACTTAGAAACAGTATTGGTCTGCTGTAAAACAGTTATACTTTGACATCGTGAGATGTGTGTCTGGTGGAAATAATATTACTCTCGAGGGTGTATATGGAATTGAAAACACAGTTATTAAGATATAAAATTATTTATTCTATAAACACATTATGGTGTTAGTGCTTGTAGATACGTACATTGGGGGAATTCCCCTGCATACCAGTACATTTTATACTATAAATTCTTGAGCTTGTCAAAAATTCCAGATCCTCATCAGTGAGGACGGCTGTGAACCTTGATGGTAAAAAGGTGATTCTTTCCTCCCCAGAAGATGTGGTCACGTCCAGGACAATAACTGTAGTTCCGAACCGTGTGCTGATTCTCTTTGCCCCTTTGATCTTGGCCGGCTCCGTAAGGTCTCTAACAGCAATCTTCAATGGGGATGAAAGCACTTCACATGACTCTAGTCTGGCAGAAAGATCCATCTAAAACCATACAGGTAAATGAGTGTCTTAATACTTGATAGGATGATAAGTGTTTTAGAGCCCCTAACAAGTATGCGAGGGAGACCAATATCTATCAGGCTAAAACTACAGTAGCGATATTTACCTTGCAGTGAAGAGTGTAGATTATAATTGATAGGGTGAAGTAGTGTTTTGATTCCTAACAAGTATGCGAGGGAGACCAATATCTATCAGACTAAAACTACAGTAGCAATATTTACCTTGTAGTGATGAATGTGGAGAATTTCTTTTCTTGCAAGTAACGATATAATGAATAGCAATTTCATCTTATATACGCATGGAGGAGGAAGTGGCAACCTCAGCGAAAGTGAAAGTGTTGACCCACCACATTCATGTCCCCACCCCCTTCAACGCTTCACTTCCTATCACTATCATTCCAACTATGCCGGCTCCACGCATCTGCTGGGCATGTACACGTTATGTGGTCTGTTGGACCTTTGAGGAACTCGGGGATAGCGGGATTTATCTATGTTGTCAGTATGTATCTTTAAACTTAGTTTTTATTTCTTTCAAAATGTATTTCTCTAAGGTTTTTAAAACTATTCTTTAGGTAAACATATATTTGTTTCTATTAGTTTAATAATTTTCATATAACTTATAGATGCTCAAGGAGGACCCGATTTGAGATTATAATCATTCACTTTAATCTGGAAGATGACACTACATGTGATCATGAAGTGGAGAAAGAGGAATAATTGGTAACTATATATTGTTAATAAATTCTATCTAAATACTTTTTATACAAGAAATTTTTTTTTTAAAAAGGTTTTGTGTGTAAATTGCTCTCTAATAATATTCTCAATGTAATAATTGCTTTAACTTATGATAAAATTAAATTAAATAAATACTTAAAAACAGTATAGTTCTGCTGTAAAACAGTTATGGTGGGAACTCGTTTTTAAGAATTATTTATACTTTGACATCGTGAGATGAGTGTCTGGTGGAAATGATATTACTCTTGAGGGTGCGTATGGAAAACACAGTTATTAAGATATAAGATTATTCTGTAAAAAACATTATGGTAAATATTTGAGCTGTTATAGATGAGGTTAATCTAGTATTTCTAATAATCCTCTTATATGATTGATAGACGTAAGAGTCTTGGACAATGTGGGGAGTACGTACACAAAGCGGAGGAAAGGCGAGGAAGGCGAGGACATACAGGAAGGCGAGGAAGGAGAGGAGGAGACTGAATGGTAAGTTACTACTTTTTAAAATCTAATTTTACTTAGGTGACCCAAGTTTCCACACCACGGTAAGCTGTTAAGCTAGGCCGTACGGGTCTCGGCGCGTTGATATATATTTAACGTGGGCATCATCCCCAGTAGGCCTACCCCACGGCTTAAATAAAATGTTTTTTTTATATTTTGATTTTTATGTCTTTTTTTGTGGCTCTCGGTCCTGCCATTCCTACGGGCCATACCAAACCGTTCCAAGGAGTAGCACAGATTCTTTCCAATCCGAACGCCTCAATTTACTAGGTTTGGGGGGTCTGTATCCATGCGTCTACTCTATGTATAGCTTAGCCTTGCCTTTGAGCAGGTGACAGAACACTAAACCGTTCCAAGGAGTAGCTTAGGTTCTTCTAAATCTAAACTCCTCAATTTACTAGGTTTTGTGCCTATCATGGGAAACCATCGTTCTACGGCGTCTAAACCAACCCAGCATCCGCTCTAGGACTTACAACGGCTTAGCTCGGTCTTTGAGTAGGTGACAGAATACAGATTTTAAGCCCAGAGTAACTCTTTTGCGTAGTACTCAGCAGAACGTAGAGCACAGTTACTGTTGTATTTATCTTTATGGTAAAAGCAAACTATTTCACTACTATTATCATTTATATTCATATTACTCTCAATTTCAATTACATTATCATGCAACCCTCTGAGGAATTGAGCTTTCTCAAAACCTTTTGTATGTAGGGCAATAAACGGCTTACATAGCTCTTTAATAAATTTTAAATCATACTCAATATCGCCATAGTACCAATCGATGTGATGGAAACGTTTGGTTAGCCATCTTGCTGTACGCTTCATTTTTTCGTTTAGACAGTTGAAAGGGTACGGGTTTCGAAAAATTAAATGTGTCCTATATGTTTTTGCAACAATAGCGAGCTCCTTTACAATAAATCTGTTTTGATTATCTTTAAATCCATGAAACTCTACTACAGCTTCCATAATGAAACTTCCCCGTATAACCGTTCAAAATAGGGATCGGGTAGGTTATGTGATAAATCCTCCGCGTCGGATAGAAGTTTCACAATGCAATCCGAAATATCTTTTTCCAGGTAGAATAATTCCAAAAGCGAACGATTGATCATGGGTATATTTTTTATCAGTAGGTGCCACTCATTTAGGTTTAGAGTTAAAGAGTGTTCTCCGTCAGAGATACACGCATACTGATGACCAAAGATATTAGCAAGCTTAACAGAGGCCCCGGTATCGAGCGTAATAACGTATTGACTTTTACTTAATAAAGCGATAGTTATTTCGTTAAACCTGTCACAGAGTTGACAGAAAGAGTCATAGGACCAAAATACGAAACCCTTTCTCCCTTTAAATAAAACCCCGAGACTATTATCTCTGCTCTTAAAGATCCCGGTGATCAGACACTTAATCAGGTCAAAGTCTAGAAAGTAGACTGATTTTAGAAAAATTCCGGTTAGTACATTTATAGGTTCCTTCTCCCTAGGTATGAGTATATGCTCGGTCACTACGTCCTCACCCTGTGAACTCATCTTACGTACTGACTCTTAGTCACCCCGTATCCTCCTGAAATTCCACCCCAACTTCTTCTTCCTCCTCAGAAGAGGAGGGGGAAGAAGTATCTTCGTATTCTTTACGCCATTTAGCTATAATCCGGTAAGCTCCTGATGGTATTTGAAAAACGCATGTTTCTGAATTAAATTTGTAACAATCGATAAAATAAGATTTTATTAATAGATTGTCTTTTGTATAGAATTCGAGTTTAACCCAACCGTATGCGCTCCCCATCCTGTTAGTATGGAGACCAGTTAGAGACTGACAAGTGAACCCGTTATACGGATACTTTTCTCACATCACCGGTAATAGGTGTGTAAGTTATATGACAGTCGTGTATGATAAGGCAATAGCCCCATGTAGAAGCAGGAACATTTTCTTTAAATTCAATTTCCAATCTAACGTCCACAGGTCCCGTTTTAATTGTATCGTCTTGTTTCGAACAATCAATAACGTATAGGGGACATTTCTGCTTAAATTCTTTAAAGTCCAAAATAGGAGAGTTAGTCGTATTGTAATAGGCTCTTTGAAAGTTCGTGTACATATCATACAACAGACATTCGTTGCCTCTAAGGTTATCGTATGGATAAAAATTTGAATTCAAATACAGTTTAATTTCGTTTAATCCGCAGGAATCAAACTGTGGCATGTTTTTAGTTACGTCACCTTTCCGCCCCGTCTGTAGTCCAAATACGACGTACCGCGGCTTTTCTGTCTGATTAGTTGTTCGAATTTGCCAGGAAAGGTTAGTAGTAGCCGGTAAATTGGGAAATTCGTGAATCTCCCATGAACGGAACGGAACATGAATTACCGGGTCTTTTTCAATATACCGATATAGCTTTAATTTCTGTGTGTCATTAACTGTAATGTGAGGCATGCGCCAGTATATTTTAGTAAGATCCACCTTAACTGCACCGGGGGAAGTCAAACACACTGCGTTAATGTCTGTTGCTGACCGCAACAGCACCAATTCCTGTTTAACATTTATCAAGACTTTTCTATAGTCTTCGGCAATGCCCAGTAGTAGACGTAAAGGAACGGAATATACAAATTCTTTAACTTTCTCGGTGTTACCAGGCTCTAGCCAGCATGCATTTCTAAGAGGTTTTAATTCCTCCTGACGTATTGAAATGATATTCTTTAAAGTTGTAGTGATGCCCACATTACGCGTTCTGTCAATTTCCTTCCCACATATTTCATATCTGATTTCCTCAAAGAGGAAAGCCATCGCGTTATTTATTAAATTGACATCTTGATCAGTTCCGTCAGCTGTTTTCTTTGCCGATACTTTCCCGTGTATCACGATATAACTCTCAGAAGGCGATGTGATTATGTCTTGCTGTAAAATTGGAATCCGTATCTCATCGTTATTGTTTAGAGTGGTCGAAGTGTATGGTTGATATGTATGGTATTCAACGCCGGTAATGGTGTCATCATATAGAGCTTCATTTTCGATTGCTAGTAGAGCCATTTTTAAATACTTTAAATCCGAGAGAGCGCAGCAAGTTTATGTTCTTACTAGTTAACCCTTCGGGTTTCCTCGTATTAATGCGTTTTGAAACGATAGTCCCTTGATTATATATGATAAGACCCATTGGTACGTCTTAGGTGTAAACGCACCGATATTCTCTCTCCGCGAAAGTTGACCAAATTTCCGTCCTGGTCTCTTAATGAAACCGTTAAGCTGTTTATCCTTTGAGCGATGACAGGCAAGTAAATTACGTTCTTTGGGATCTCGATGATTTTATACCCTGGTGGCTCAGCCGGATAGAATTCGTGTATTACATGAGACTCGATGCCGTCAATAAACGATCCACGCGTTATATTACATTCCACCCTAATTGAATTAACTCTGATAATATCGACAGGTAGTTCGGAAACGTGTGTTTTATCCGCCTCGTACACTTTATTAGTAAAACCCAATGTCTTACCTATTGTACCTTCTTTACTGAAATCTATACTCTCCTGACAGGTCAATTCGGTTTTAAGTGTATTATTATTGGGTTTTAATGTAAACTTGTATTCTCTGGGTAGCTGGGACTTTATGTATTTCTCTATATCTTCGATTTCGTATGAACCTTCGGGTATAGTGATAAGGCCTTTATTGCCATAGTAAAACTTGTTATTTATATTATTCTCAATATTCGGTATAGAGTTATATGTCGATAGCTCAATCAATCCTAACTCCCATTCCCCGTTACTGACATCGATAGGTGTTGATAACTCGTGTGTAAAGATACTACTTGTCCCCGTAAGGCTAAACATTTTCGGTTAGAAACTTTAAACACAAGTGCCACAAATGACTGAGTCGAAACTCTGTTCCCGCACATAATTATAGTAAACCTCGCTGTCACCGAAATATCTCATTAGCTCCGGTGGTGGTTTGAGATTACCGAAACTGTCAAAGTAATAAACGATATTGTTAATCTTTTTATAACAGACCCAGTGGGTACCGGCCCCAGATATACTGTCCAAATTCACTATTGCCGATTCGTACACTTTGGGTTTTTTTGGTAAACTATCCCTCATATATACACCTCTAAAGTTTGGTACTTTAAGTAATTTTGCATACTTTATCAAGTCGTAGTTTGTTAGAGGTTTTATCGGTATTGACAGGCTTTTTTTTTCTTTGTAACTCTGCGTTTTACTTTCCTTTTGCCGGCACCTTCTCTTTTATACGGTCTAAGATACAGACCCTTACCCTTCCTTTTGGGGGTACGTTTTTTCTTTTTCCGACCCCCTCCAAAAGCTGTTTTAGTCTTCATTATGTTTGTCACCGCCCACGCTGCGGCCTTCTCACCGATACTAGAGTCTGATGCTTTTACACGTTGCCAAGCACTATCAATCAGCTGACGGTCCGCATTAAGCCGGTTCGCGCTATCTTTGTATTTCGAATAGGCGATATCGTGTACCTTACACGCCTCGTCTAATTTGTTGATTCCTTTGTCTCCTCTCGCTAACCTTTCTTTTAATTTCGTTCCAGGTCCACAGTAATTATACCGTTTAGTACTGAAAGGGTTAATACCGGCTGGCAAATGTAATTCAATAGGTAGCTTATCGATGACCTTATTTATAGCCGAAGCGATAAACCCACTTCCTCTTTTGGGGGATCGTTTCTTTCTGATTGTCTTTTTCATTACTGCAGGTATTTAAGCACCTCGTACAGTCTGGTGAGCAACGTCTCACGTATACAGGTAATTTTCAAAATATCAAACGCGTTGTTTACCGAGCCCGTAACATACCCAGTAAACTCGTTGTATTCCAAAACAGTACTGTCAGTTAAAAAGTATATTCTACCGTTTATATACCGGAAAGCCCCATTGACACTGTTGGGAACCCCATTCAAGTAAGAGCTTATACCGCCTAAATGGGTAGCTCTGAATGAACACTCATCCAGTGAATATAAGTACCAATTGTCTATAAGCAATAATGTC